TTTTTTTTTTTTTAGAAATATGGATCTTCTTTCATTGATATCTTCGGTCCGGATTTTAACATGGTGATTTTCTAGTACCTGATTATTCCTAATTTCTAGCAAAACATATTAAAAAATTTTAAAATTTTAAAGACTATATTCAACTAATAAAACTTCCGATCTTTCAATTAGCAGAGAAACAAAGTTTCATCTTCTCCTTGCAGGGTATATTAAAAAAAAAAATGTTTGTCATAAAAAATAATCAGAACAAGTGATCGCACATTAGCTTGCTTTTTTTTTGACGCATGTACTCTACATTTGCGAAAAGACGTTTTGTTATTTGCCAATTAATCTAAATATAAATATTAACAAAAACTAATTACATATGTGTTATGTATGTATATGTACGTTTGTATACATATGTATATATTTTGCAAAAATTTTTATTGAGCTTAAAGCTGAATTATCATGTTTTAGTTTACTTGAGCGTTTTATTAATGTAGAGCTTAATAAAAATCAATGCCATAATGTGCCACATTTAATGAGGGGAGTGTGATTTTTGTTAAGTACAATGTACAGAGAATGTAGCCGAATTATTAAAAAATAAAAATTATTTACGTTCGTGTGCATTTCTGCTCTTAAAAGCTACTCATAAAAACCAAATAATCTGTCGTTCGGAGGCAGCCTAACTTTGAGGTCCCCCGACTGTGCGGCAACATCAAGGCGTGTACCGCCAATTTTAGGAGAGGATCGGCCACGCTCTTAGTGAGCAGGTGATTGTCATGATTTTTGCCACCGCAAAGGCCTGAACGTAGGTTTTTTTTTTTGGGCTTCGAACCGAACCATATTTATTTTGAAATGCCAAAACCGAACCGGAAACCACTCAAAATAATGGTGCTGTGCGGTTCCAAATCCACTAAAGCAATTTTAAAGTTTTGTAATATACAACTTTGTCTAAAAATGCAACTCCATGGTAAAACTGCAAACATTTTTAAGTGTAATGGCATCTCTATGGGTTCTAATTTCGTCGATATAAAAAACGCTCGAAATGTTTTTATACTGAAGCAAATGCATATCAACACCAGCAAAAGAAAAAAAAAAATCAAAAATCGGTGCGATTTTTAGTTTAAACCTGCACTTTTCACAGTGCATACATTAAAATTGAATGAGCTATAAAATTGCATACTCTGATTTTTTTTTTAGTTTTGATTAAAAACTTTGGAACTACATATATGGAAATTTTGTAGAAAAATAGTTCAATATCGCACTACTGCGAAATGGGGATTTAATCATCAAGTCAAGATTTCGAGTGTCAATTCAAAATTCTGCATGTTTAAGCGGTTCGCTCAAACTTCAACATGGCGGCCAGAAAATCAAAAAATTGTGAAATTTGTTAACATTTTCCTCAAACGGCTTGTCAAACCTTCAAACACACCCATACACAAGACAAACAGCATTAAGGAGAGGGATACTTCGCCTGGTTTGTCAAGCCGCTTNTTTCACAGTAAATACATTAAAATAGAATGAGCTATAAAATTGCATACTCGAATTTTTTTAGTTTTGATTAAACACTTTGGAACTATATGGAAATTTTGTAGAAAAATAGTTCAATATCGCACTACTGCGAAATGGGGATGTAATCATCAAGTCAAGATTTCGAGTGTCAATTCAAAATTCTGCACGTTTAAGCGGTTCGATCAAACTTCAACATGGCGGCCAGAAAATCAAAAAAATTGTGAAATTTGTTAACATTTTCCTCAAACGGCTTGTCAAACCTTCAAACACACCCATACACAAGACAAACAGCATTAAGGAGAGGGATACTTCGCCTGGTTTGTCAAGCCGCTTGTGTGGTGTTTTTCGCTCTTAAGTGCATCTGCAGTTGCTGCTAAATATTTAAAATGTTATCGATAATTTTTTTCATTCCATCGTTATATATAGAAAATTGTAGGAAAAGTTTTTGAATCAAAAAAAAAAATTCTTCAGGTTCATATAAGTTTCCCAATAAAAAAAAATATATATATATCTGCATTTATAATATAGCCCTTTCTTCTTCCTTCAGTAGAACGTAGATATATTTACCTGTAAATAATATGCAGTACACAATACTCATATCTGTAATAAGAAAATTTCGAGTAATTTGTTCGGATTTTGAGGATTTTTCGTTTGTTTTTGAGGAATTTTGGATTTTTTTTTTATGGCAACACTGCTAAAAACACATTAAATCATTAAAGATTTCAAGCATTAAACTAAGGAAATTTTAAAGGCATATCGACATCAGCGTTTGTGTTAAATGTATGCCCTTTACACATAGAAACACCGTCGCCAAAATAAGCTTTGAAATAAATTAAATTTTCCTGGAGGAAGTGCTCAGTGGAAGACGGTTGTGTGTGTTTTAAATCAATTCCAATTAAACCCAATGAATACTACGTTTTAGCGAAATGTGTTAGCATTCAAGGCACCCATTAAAAAGGCACACACCTACCAACAGACGTATGTACATATGTATTGCATGGCAAGGGGAGATAATTGGCAGCAGGACCTCTTCACTCGCAAATGCCATTTCACACAAGTAGATATTGCAGGATATACTAGTGGTGGCAACACAACAACAAAAAGAAAGAACAAAAAAAGCAAAGCGTTATGCCAGACAGAGCTAAAATTTTCGCAAAATCACACAACAGGCAACGCGAGTGAGTGAGTAGACAATGCTTATGACAGCTGAGCTGAGCGGCAATATTAAACTCATTAAATTTGCTTATTTGGTGACAAATGAGAAAATTATTGCAACAGCAGAGAGATTAAATAAAAAGCAACAACAACAAAAACCGAACAAATTATTTGCGAGCGCGGCCGCAGCAACAGCGGGGAACTGGAAGAAAGCTGCCGCTACGAATGCCATGAATGGCAGTTTAGGTTAAATTACACACAGTGACAACTGTGTCGATTACAACAATAATAAAAGTGTTGTTATTTTATATTCGCATGCAATAATAGTACTACCACTACACTCATCCCAAATGGCAACGGCAATTCGCTTGGAGGCGCACGGACGCAACACCGTTGGCAATAATAATAATGGCCAACAATAGTAACAACAACCAACGGAAGCCATATGCAGAAAGCGACGTTTTAGAGCGTAAAATGCGGCGTATTAGCCAAGGGAACGCCTACCGCAGCAGCCACCTGGAGTTGCAATGCAACGCGCCGCACGACAAACGAGTGAAGGCAAAGGCAAATAGTGATTTCACGGTAGCGCAATAAATGCGAAAAAGCAAATATTGACTGAGCGCGCGGGCGATAACCAGTGATAGCTACATAGAAATGTTTTCAGCTGCCGTCTCTTTCGCGCCGACGAAAATGTATCTATCAGATAAAATCCACAGTAGGCATAGCGCCGGGCTTATGTAAAGCAAAGAGCTGGTGTTTTTGTTGCAAGGGTTGCTGTGCGGACGAACGCAGGCAGCCAGTTTAGGTACAGCCCACTTTGAGGCCATTCGCTGCGCTCGCGCTGAGTAGCAGTGTGTCAAAGAAACATACATACATCTAAATATGTACACATTTAAGTAGATATGTGTGTATATTTACTTAGTTATGTAGGCTGAGAATGCAGGCTTATTACTTATTTGCCTTTTATGCTTAACCGGTTGCACAGGTTTGCTGGCGTATTGGTGTGAGTGAAGCGCTGAGTGCGTGCGCCGCGCTATTTGCTTCTTGTGTGTGCGTTGGAAGAGCAACAGTGTCGCATTGAGCGAGAGCGCGCACCTCCACAAGCGGTCACGGCACGCTATGGACGGTTACTTGGTGCGGCAGCGGTGCACAGTTGTGGATTATTCCGACATCGACTGTCGTTGAGTGAACACGTTGAGTGCGCGTCGATCAAAATCGTGGGAAAACATAAGCAAAAAATAAACCAATTCTGAACACTGAAATTTTTCTGATTCGAATGGTTACGCGAGTGACGGAAAATTGTGCAAAATTGTTCCATGGCATAAAGAAAATTAAATTAAACGAATATGCAGATCACAACAAAAAGCATTGAAGTGAAGTGTGTTGCATTGCTAACCAATTAGCAATGCGCAAGTGAAATTATACAGGAATTAGAAAACAACAACTAATTGGAACACATCTGTCCAAATCAGGGATTCATTTAAAAAAAAAAACTGCAAACTTTTCCTGCACGAAATATTTTCCTTGCTTCAGCAAAAATTGCCGAACTAACTGCGGCCTCGTCCCAGCAGCACCCTTCTCCAGCCTCTCCAGCAGCCGCGCAAACTAAATTATTTATGACTAAAATGATTCCGCCGCTGCCCACTTCAGCCGTTCTAATGCCCACGCCAAAGCAGAAGATCGGCTTCAGCATCGAATCGATAGTGGGCAACGATTCAGCCGCTTCGCCGCCGCAAAGTGCCGGCGGCAATAGCCAACCGTCCGGCGACCAGTTACGCAACACAAACTCCGCAACTGGCAGCAATGGGCCCGGTTCACCACCGCAGACGCCACCTGCTGCACCCCCCACGTCAGGTACTACACACCTGCCTGGCGCGCCGCATCTCGGCATGCACCTGCCGCTGCAGCTCACACCGCACTCCCATCCGCATGCCGCGCACGCACACTTACCGCCACATCTATCGCCTGCACAACAACACGCGCTGCAACAACATCTGCTCCTGCAACATCATCACCAGCAGCAGCAGCAGCAACAACAGCAACAGTTATCACCTAGCGCTGGCATACCGATGCGCCAGGACATACAAGATATCATTCAACGCCTGCATAGCTCCGCTGCGGCAGCTGCTGCGGCCAATTTGGGCATAAATCCCGCCGGCCCCTACAGTCCACCACCACCCACGCAAACGCGGCTCTCCGCCTCGCCTGATGGCGCACCTGCCGCCGTCACAACACAATTGTTACATCTCAAGCGCGAACGCTCGCCGCTGCCGTCGGCTGTCGAACAAGCTCAGCATCCCGCACAGCGTCAACAGCCCAATCAGCCCGCGTCGCAGCAACACGCGCAGCCGCTGCCGCCGCATACGCCACCCAAATCCGTCTCACCAACATCCTCGCATCCGTCGTCTCCACCAGCAATGCTGCCTGGAAGTCCTGCTTCGCTACCCACTCCCAACCAGCAAGCGCACCCACAACACACAACGCCTCAATATCCCAAGCCAACGCTTGGCGCTGGTCCTGGACACATGCTTATGCCCGGCATGCAACACGCTCCTGGCTTAGTGCGTCCATTCCCGGTCGTTGGACCAGGTGGTGTGCCGCCNTCCACAACACACAACGCCTCAATATCCCAAGCCAACGCTTGGCGCTGGTCCAGGACACATGCTTATGCCCGGCATGCAACACGCGCCTGGCTTAGTGCGTCCATTCCCGGTCGTTGGACCAGGTGGCGTGCCGCCGCCACCACAGCAAGGCTTGCCCGACATCAAAGCGCTGCCGCCGTACATCAATGCACCGCCGCCAGAGCTGCCGCCTCAGCACAATCCACATTTAATCGCCGCCGCACAATTTCAAATGGCTGCCGCCCTGCAGGCTGGCCATGTGCTGGGTGGCGGTTTGCCGCCACACGCCGGGCCATTCATGGGTGGACCGGGCATGCCGCGTGACAGCTATCCGCTCTATCCTTGGCTGTTGAGCCGCCATGGACGCATCTTTCCACATCGCTTTCCAGGAAGTAAGTATTTGGCATCGCACATTTATTAATTCTCTGTAGCAGTCCGTTCAAACTGCGTACTTCTATCGCCTAAACCCGTGCAAGCTTTATACTAATTGGTCACTTTCTCTTCCCCTTCTTCTCGCTATTAGATTTCTTGCTCCAGCCTTTCCGCAAACCAAAACGCATACGCACCGCCTTCTCACCCTCCCAGCTGCTCAAGCTCGAGCACGCCTTCGAAAATAATCAATACGTGGTTGGCGCCGAACGCAAGGCGCTCGCCCAGTCGCTTAACCTCTCCGAGACGCAGGTAAAAGTGTGGTTCCAGAATCGTCGCACAAAGCACAAACGCATGCAGCAGGAGGACGACAAAGGCGACGGCTCGCATTCGGATCGCAGTCGCAATGCGGCAAGTTGCGATGAAGATGAGGACGACGAGCTCATCGATATGGAAATGGATGACTGTCCGAGCGACGAGGAGCATGAGTTGGATGAGAGTCATTGAAGAAAGTCTTGGCACTTTACAATTAGAAAGGAATTGTGTAAATATTTGAACTTCGCCAGAACTGCGAGCAGTGTTGCCGCAAATCATTTTTAGTGGTAGCCAAATTCCTTTTAAAGAAGGGCTAAAAAAAGGGCTAAAAATGGTAGCTAAAATTTTTTACATACAGTTATCGTCGCTTAAAGTACAAAATCGCGTATCGTCATTTTGCAAAACCGCGTAACTGACATTTGCTGCCAAAAATTGGATTTGCTCACACAAGCTCTTGCCTCAATCCATATCCATTCGTCCTGAAATATACTAGCCAGAAATGCGATTGCTTTTAAAAAAAAAGCGAACCATTTTGAAATATGAGTGTTGTTTTTTTTTACTCTCTAGAAAATAGTTTATGCAACCTCACATATGCGGTTTTACATTATCTTAATACGGGGTTTGCATTTCGCTGATACGCGGTTTTGTACTTTAAACGACAAGTGATTGTACCATCAGGCTCGAAGCACCTAATATACCGGCTCGCTGGTACAATATTTATTTTTTTACAAATAAGGTCCAGCAAATACCGAAATGATTTGAGCCTAAATTTCATAGTTTTTCCACAAACACGGCTCTGACTTATATAGAGCAAGAAATTTTCGTTAAAATACTTAAAAAATCACAATCACAAAATTTTCAAATCGTGTTTGATGTCGCACGAGCAGCCGGTACAATCACACCACCAGAACATACACGGTCAATCGGCTGGAACGAACATTTGATGGCGCCAACATGCTCCCACCAAATATTGGGAGTCATTGATTGAGTCTTTACGGAGTCCTATTTCGAAGCCTTTACGCTCATAAGGAGCTCATTTAAGAGTCCGATATCAGGGTTTTTCCGTTCCTCTGAAGGTCGACTTATATGAGCGTAAATTCATAAATCAAATGAGCCTCAATATGAGTCATATTGGACCATTATTGGCCTCATATACGGCTCCTTTTAGACCCTTTTAAAACAATTTTTGGCCTCATATGTGAATCATAGCAGACTCTCTTTTAGGCTCTTATCGGCCTCAAAAATTACTACATTAGGACTCTTATTATAGGTTGCTCTTTGCAAAGGTATTCACCAAAAATTTCTTTCAAATGGCATACATATGAACATGGGGCGTTCCACATAACATTCACATAAAAATTTCNCTCAAAAATTACTACATTAGGACTCTTATTATAGGTTGCTCTTTGCAAAGGTATTCACCAAAAATTTCTTTCAAATGGCATACATATGAACATGGGGCGTTCCACATAACATTCACATAAAAATTTCTTGATAAAAAAAAATTAGTTTTTGAAAATATGCCACCTCAAAAAAAAAAAAAAATAAAATAAAAACTACAATGCTAGCTATGACATTTTTTCTTATGAATGAAATTACGCAAAACCATTTTCAAAGAAAATTAAAAAACAATTAACTCCAGTTTTGCAATCGCTTAAAACTTGCACTTTATTATACTAAAATTTAATCGGCTACAAAACTGCGTACTCAAAAATGTTCTAAAAAAATTAAAAAAATGTGTAAACTTGTAATGTAGCTACTCATTTTACTCAACTTCTGTGAAGAAAAAAATTCATAACTAAATTTTTTTTTTTATTTTTTCGTAATTTTTTTATTTTTTTTTTTTGACATGGCATATTTTCAAAAACTATTTTTTTTCAAAAAATTTGTGTGAAAAATTTTTCAAGAAAAAAAATTTTTGAAAATATTTCTTCTCACAGATTTTGATGTGTGTGATTTTTTTTCAAATTTTTTCCTCATTCCGTTCTCGGGATATTTGGAAAACTATTATTTTAGTTCGGAACGCCCCGCATACAAATGTACATACTCACGTGCATATATACAAATCAGCACGCGTTTAATAGCAGCAGCTGCAGCGAAATTTGGCTTACTTTCGTTTTCTAATTATTCTCAATTTCTGTATAAAAAAAGTTTAGATATAAATTTCGAATTATATGACTCCTAAAAGATTCATATAAAAGTTAAAAATTTTTCGTTTTTGAAACTCATATTTCTTAGCCACTTAGGACTCCTTTCGAACTCAATAAACTTATCTATTTTAAAGTATAGTATATATATATATATATAAATGTATATATCAGAGTCTTTCTTAGTAAAAAATTTCATCTCAAACATAAATGAAAAAATTAGATCAAATTAAGCATATATAATTTTTTTCATGTCAAGTATGAATAAATTGTCCAAAGGGCTAAAAAAACGGCTAGGGGCAATTTTGAATTTATGTGGCCAAAAAAGTATGTGGTAGCCAAATCTGGCCACTAAAGGGCTACAACAGCAACACTGACTGCGAGTCGAATGCATGGAGTGAGAGTTTCTTTATTTATTGCAGAGAGAAGCATGAAACGCTGTTGATTTGTGCGTGTCTAAATATGTGCAAGTGTGTGTATAAATGTAGCTACGGCGGTGATAGCGAATATGTAGTTAAAATGGCAAAAGGGTTGTAGGGCGACGACGAGAATTATGTGATATATAAATATTTAAAATGTATGATTTTAGACAAGTGACAAAGGCAAATTAGTTGCGAAAATCTAATATAAAAAGCATACACATACAAATAGTTTTATTTAGTTTACACTTAGATAAGTATTAAATTATTTAGTAAGAAGTAGGCAATAGTTTAGAGAGACTTTTAAAACTAAGTGTTGTAAATGGCAAAATTTATATTTAAAAATAAACTAAAATATTAATATTAATGAATTTATTTCGAGTATTTATGTAACCCGAAAAATATGAAAACGTCTTGAAAATAGCAAAGAACATTGTGCCAAATTTATAAAGGTTTCACTGTCGTTTACGCTGAATTTTTCGCAGTTTTGATATTTTTTTTTTTTTTTTAGTTTCCAAGAGCCATTTACAATACCTCAATATTTTTACCTTGGTAATAAGCTTAACTTGGCTTAGAATATATGTATATAATAAGAGCTTGAAAAATAGTAGTTGAATTATTTAGTATTTTTTAAGTGCAGCTAACAATTCGATTGTAAAATATTAAAATATACCTATATATTATTATATATGTTTAAGTGAATAAATTTAATATGGAACGAAGAGAGAAACACAATATATAAAATCAATAATTAAAATAATGAATATATAATCATTGATTTTTATTTACACTTGGAATGATTTTTCATTAAGTGGAGTAACGCGTTACGATACGCCTCAATACAAAATTTTTCACTTTCTCGTTTACCCACTACATTACAGCTAATAGAGTGGGAAAGCATTTTTAAAATTTCTCGCTTACCTCCAATGACATGCCCAGGTTAAAGCAATGTGTTCTGTAAAATGGAGGATATGTGGTGAATTTCAAAAAGTGCTTACCCATCACGATTCCCCACATATTTATATACCCTCAATTTTCTATGGTGTACGAAAAAGTTGAATTTTGCTGTGCCAATTGCAAAGTAAAATTTTGACAGTAGAAAGACCCAACAAACGCCCTTTCGAAAGCTACACCTTATTATGCGGTGTAAAATATTTTCACATATCCTATAAAGCACTTCGTGATAATTTTTGCCACTTTGTATACGCATAACCAGAAGCTAATTTGGGTAGGCTATAAAATACTTAGTTAATGAGGGCTTCCCCGCATGCCTCCTAGAAAAAAGTTTCCTAGCTACTATTTACGGGAATATACTTAAGTACATCGCTACGTAAAGGTGAAAGGAGCCAAGTTCATTTTTTTTTCAAAATTTATTTTTTGATGCAGAATGGCAGATAATACGAAACTGCATCGAATTTTCGTCTCGCCTGAAAATTAAAAAAAAAATGGACTTGGCACCGTTTCACTCTTAGGTGACAAAATGTTTATATTATTAAGCATTACAAATAAAATTCAATAAGTGTTTCACATACCAATAAAAAATATTTCGTATGAAGCTTAACCAAATTTCTTAAAGAAGTATGATTTTTTGTGAATTTAAAGAAAAGCTTTAAAATAACTTTTCCAAAAGTTCTTCTGAAGTACATTCCCCAAAAGCTCTTTTGGAAGCTCTTCATTAAAAAGCGAAAGCATTTGTGGCACTTCATACAAAAAAGAAAGTAGAAAGAAATGACTTTCAGAAAAAACTTTTAGGAGATTTTAGCTACTGAAATTATTTACTGCGTAGTATGTATGACCCCTCAGCCACGTGCTTGTCCAGAAATTTGCACATTTTCAATATTTTCCTAAAAGAAAAGAATATTTTAACAAAATAAACTAAAAAGAGAGGTGGTAAACTCAGCAGCGGTTCTATGAAATTGTGAAGTGAAATTGAAAAATTCAATGTCAGTGAAGTTTTATAGTCCAAATCTGTATCGGTAACAAACATTTTTTTACTGGCAAATTTAAACTTTTTCAGATATTTTGCGTTATAAAAACTGTGACAAGAATTTGTCACTGATGCAGAATAGAGCTGTTAAGTTCTTCAATTCATCATTTGGTTACATCATTTTAAGCGATTCTTGATCATTGAAGGCTTTTTCTTTAACATCTTGCAAGTCATTATTGTGAGTTTAAGACAATAAAAAAAAAATAAATATAATAAAAGTCCTACATGGGCCATTTATTTTGAAAGTCACTTTCTTTGCAAGTGGATATATGTACGGGTTTTCATTTTAGCACGTTTAAAAATATTGATGCCAATTTTCGAGAAGGTTTACTTGTATTTGATATCCTACCTATACTTTTCACAGTATAAAAAATTTCGTATAATCGTGGAAAAATCACTACTATTCTTTACGGTAAAGTGTAAAAGTCTTAAAGTGATAGTGCAACTGTTACGAAAAGCAAAAATAGAATCTGTCATAAAAAGACTTTTATTTTAGCTTAAAAAAACAAAATAAAAGTCGTTAAATAACAAATTGGGTTCAATTTAATTGTACGAGTTCAAAAATAACTGATAAATGCTAAGAATTCAGTTTTGTCCAAATTTAAAATCGAAGCGAAATTGAAAAAAGCTCAAAAAATAAGCATTTTGATACAGCTTTCTCTTAATGATTGTTTAGTTTGAAATCGTTTACAAAACTAATTACAATTAAGTGACCATAATTGACCCATAATCAGC